CAACCAAACTACCTCTGTTATGGCATTGGCCATGCTCCTATATTCAGCTTCCGCAGAACTTCTTGATACTGTATTTTGTTTCTTGGACTTCCAGGAGATAAGAGAATCTCCTAATTTTACCACAAATCCACTCACCGACCTTCTAGTCATTGGACAAGTAGCCCAATCTGCATCACAATACACTGTGAGCTGATTAGAATACTGAGATGAAAGCAGAATCCCCAGCCCTGGAGCATTCTTAAGATACCTTACTACTCTTATTGCTCCTTCCCAATGTGACTTCTTTGGCTTATGCATGAACTGGCTCAGATTTTGGACAGCATAGGTGATGTCTGGCCTTATCATAGTGAGATATAACAACTTTCCAACCAATTTCTGATAGCTGCTTGGATTACTGAGTAACTCATCAACAGCCACAGCTGCATGAGCATTAGCATGATCATACTCAGCACTGGTGAGTTTATGGCTTGCGTCTAGAGGTGTGCAGGCTGGTTTAGAACCTGCAAGGCCAAGTGTAGCAATGAGATCAAGTGTGAACTTCCTTTGACAAACCAAAATGCCTTGTTTGCTCCTAGCAACTTCAAGACCAAGGAAATATCTCATCTCCCCCAGGTCCTTGATCTTGAAGTGATCCTGTAGGACGGATTTGGCATCCTGTATCAACTGAGGAGAAGAACCAGTAATCAAGAGATCATCTACATAGATAAGGATTAGAACCAAGCCAGAATTGGACCTTTTACTGAAGAGGGAATAGTCATGATGACTTTGCACAAAGCCTGATGAAGAAAGAGCTTCACTAAGCTTCAGGTTCCATTGCCTAGAAGCCTGCTTGAGCCCATACAAGGATTTCTGAAGCCTGCAAACTCTAGGAGGCTCCCCCTCACCTAGAAGATCAGGAGGAGGAGTTATATATACTTCTTCTTGCAGATCACCTTGGAGAAAAGCATTGAAGACATCCATCTGATACAGCTTCCATCCATGCATAACTGCCAAGGACAGAACAATTCTCACCGTAACTATTTTCACCACAGGGGAGAAAGTCTCTTGATAGTCAAGACCTTCCTGCTAAGTGTATCCGTTTGCCACTAAGCGAGCTTTGTATCTCTCCACTTCACCTTTGGCATTGTATTTCACCTTATACACCCATTTACACCCTATGGCTCTCTTGGCAGGTGGCCAAGGAACTAGTTCCCAAGTGTGATTGTCCTGAAGAGCCTTCAGCTTAGCATCCATGCAGCAATCCATTTGGGATCTCGAAGAGCATCAGTATAGGTAGCAGGTTCCATAACAACAGTAAAAGAACAGAGAGATTTGAAGTAAGGATAATACAAAGAGGCATATGACATATAGGCTGATATTGGATAGCTGGAACTCAAGGCAGTAGAAGATCCAGCCTGTGGAATCCCATGAACAAAGTCATTGAGCCATCCTGGCGGCCTAGAAGTCCTAGTAGACTTTCGAAGTCCCTCTTCTGGCAAAGCATTCAATGAACCCATACTTGGATGTGTCACTACTGTTGTAGGAACTGCTGTAGGAATGTGAGGCTGTACCAGATCTGCTGAAGCTGGTATCACATGATTGGGAGCTGGTGATGCCTCAGGGGAAGTTGATGATGCTACTGCTGAGTCAGGAAGAGCCTCTGAATCAGCTGTGTCAATAAGAAAGGCATCATCTGTATCAATGAATTGCCCACTAGTACTCCTCCTGCATGTTGAAGTTGTGGTCTGAAAAGGAAAAATGTACTCCTTGAAGGAGAAATCCCTGCTAACAAAGAAATGTTTGTTAGTAAGGCTATATAACCTGTAACCCTTTTGAGTGGATGAATATCCCATATGCACTGCTGGTTCTGCCCTAGCTCTAAACTTATCACCTCTATCAGTGGCAGTAGCATAGCAAAGACTGCCCAGAACTCTCAGGTGTTGTAGTTTAGGTGGTCGACCTAGAACATTTCAAAAGGTTATTTACCTGCCAATGTTGTGGATGGTATCCTATTGATCAAGTATACTGCATTCTGCACACAAATACCCCAGAATTTCAGTGGAATACTTCCCTGAAACCTGATGGCCCTTGCAACTTCAAGAATCTGCCTGTGTTTCCTTTCTACCACTCCATTCTGCTGGGGTGTGTAGACACAGGAGCTTTGATGAATCACACCTGTATGTCTAAACATATCTGCACAATGAGAATTAAAGAATTCTGTTCCATTATCTGTTCTAAACACCTTAATTGCACTATTAATTGCACTAGGAAGCCTTGTCTGTTTTGCCAAAGGGCAAATAACACAAACATTGTAGCTATGTAATCTATTACACTTATCTTATGTGGAATGTGCCCAAGTCTTCTATGCCATAGCTCTTCTTCATTGTTCACACATAGTACTGCTGATGCTTGAATCCTGTCTCTATCACTGTGAGGCCAATAGTATAGATCTCCATTCCTTCTACCAATCCCCTTCACCTTCCCAGTGTGAAGGTCCTGCATGAGGCAAAAATCAGGATAGAATTGCATGCAGCAATTTAGCTCCCTAGTCAGTTTTGATACTGACAGTAAATTGTATTTAAAGCCTGGTATGCAAAGCACATTTGATATAATCCCTTGATCTAATTCTGAGCTTCCTACACAAGATATGGCCAAGCTATCTCCATTTAGTAGATGAACCCTTCCTCCTATACTTCTAGAGTTTTCTTTAGGCTTGAAGATCATTTCATTACTGGACACCATATGGTCTGTTGCACCTGTATCTACAATCCACTTATCATCCTTTGCTTTACTATCAGTTGAATGACCTACAGTGACTGCATTTGCAAGTATTGGAGAGTCAGTTATACCTGCTGCATTAGCTGCATTCACTGTTGATTCTTGTGAGCTGTCCTTTTGTAGCATCTTTAGGATTTGATCATACTGTTCTGCAGTAAATGGCATTGGCATTTGCATGCTTATTTTTTCATCTTTCTCTGCACCTGCAAAGCATCCTGGTGATCCTGTGAAGCCTGCATTAGTACAATAAGTATTTGGACCTAAGGATTGTGTAACTCCATAGCTAGTGTGAGCATTTACTGAGTTATTTCCCATTCCCTGTTGCTGACCATGACTTCCTAGTTGTGCAGAATTACCAAAGTGTGCAGAGTTAGCCACTGGCTTTCTTTTGCCCTTAAAATCTGGCGGATATCCAACCAACTGGTAGCAATTTTCCTTGCTATGTCCTTTCATTTTACAGAAATCACATATTACATTGAAATTCCTTCTAGGTTTCTGCATCTGAGATCCTTTAGCTCTCCAAAGTGCAGTGATGTCATCACCATCCATTAGCGAGTTGAGACCTACAGAGCTGTGCCTTGTTGTTCCCTTTTGAGTCTCATCTTCATTGACCATGGCATATGCTTGATTTAGACTAGGCTCTGTGGATTTCATAAGAATCTGACGTCTTGCCTGACTATACGAGTCATTTAAACCTCCCAAAAACTGAAGCAACCTTTGTTGACTTAAGAGTTCAACGTAGTCCTTCACAGAGTTGGGGGGTGGCACAATTGCATCAAATTCTCCCCACAGTTCCTTCAATTTTGTAAAGTATGTGGATACAGAGTCGGTACCTTGGGATATTGTTGCAATTTCTCTATGAAGCTGATAGATCCTCATGCGATTCACCTTGTCAAATCTCTCACGAAGATCCTCCCACACAGCTCGAGCACTTGATGCATACACTATCCCACTGAGTAGATCCGACGCTACATTGTTCATAATCCATGAAAGGACTATGGCATTACAAGTTTCCCAATCCTCATGCAAAGCTTCAGGAAACGTAGCTTTAGTATGCTTACCGTCAACAAACCCTAGCTTCCGTTTAGCTTGAAGTGCAATCTTCATCGATCTCCGCCATAGGCCGTAGTTCTCAGATCCTTTGATCTGGATCGGAATTAGCACTGAACCTGGAGTATCGGATGGATGCACGAACAAGGGATGGGTGTGATCGATCTTATTCTCCCCCATTTCTGAATCGAAAAGAGAAAAAAACATAATTTCGAGATTTTGTTTATCTTCCGACTGAACTTCAACTTTTGCTATTGGCCGATGAACAAGCGAGCTTAGATCTTCTCCGCCGGCTCTGATACCATGTCGAAGACCGCCATTATTAAGCTTAATTTGAGCTCAGTCGCAGAGAGAAGATATTTGAGAGGAGGAAGAAAACTGTTCTATTGAAAACTGAAGAAGTAAAGCTACAGTACAGTGTACAAATACTATATTAACCGCCTAAAACTAACTAACTCACTATTTACTTAAATACCCTTATACATCACAACTATTTAACTACTGCACCTATATCTATATTCGTAATAGTTGGAGATGAGATATATATATACAATTTGTTTATTTAGTTCGATGTCTTTTAACCAAAGTGAAAAAAACAGAAAGGTTGGCTAGGGAGGGGTCTTTTTCACCTTAAATCAAGGTAATTATTTTGTTTCAATTAATGTGACCATTGCTTTTTTAGCCTATTTCAAAAAATTATGTCTAGATTTGAAATAATTTAAAATTTTATTTTATCCTTATTGATAAATTTTATAATCATACAAACATTATGACATTTTTAAATAATAAATTTCAAAAGTGTTTTTCTCTTCTTTAAAATCTGACTTCTATTAATCATTCTTAATGATGAAAACAAAAACAAAAATCAGAGTCGAATTCACATTATGAACTCTTGTACATAAATCAATGTTTACAAATAGTAGGCCGATTCAAATTTTACTTTTTCTTCATG